CTGATCGGGAACATTTCTTCAAATATTTTAGCATTGCCTTAGACAATAATCTATGTCAAAATTCGTGAAGATATCTTCCCAACTAAAACAATTTTACTTACAAGAACTGATTTCTGATCGCTCAGTTTATACGGCAGCCATATGTTATAGTGGTCTGATTGGGAACATTTCTTCGGAGATTACACGACTGCCCTAAGCAATATTCCGTGCCAAATTTTGTGAAGATATCTTGTTTAATAAAAAAGCTCTCCATACAAGCACTTTAATCCGATCGTTCAATTTGTATGGTAGCCATATGCTATAGTGGTCCGATATCGGCGGTTTCGACAGCTACTTTATGAGAAAAGGAGACGTACAAAAACAGGAGGACTGGTTCGCTGATTGTATAGATTTTATGGGGTCTCCGGCGTTTCCTTCTGGGTATTACAAACTTCGTGGCTAACTTCATATACTCCCTCCAAGGTATAAAACCACAGTGTACATTTTGCTTTAGTCACTTGTACAAAAGGGAGAAGAAAGAATATAAAACCACATATCTATACAGTCAGGTGTCAAAGTGCGGAACCGGAAACTGCGCATACACATACATGAAAAAATCACAAACACACATGCTGCCGGGCAAGGTCTAACGTTATTCTAAATAAGGAGCGTACAATGCAAGCGCATTAGCTGTTAAGTTAAAATAACAGAACAACAACAATAATTGCTAACAAAAAAAGGTAAAAGTTTGTTTGCACCGTAAATGAGGCAATAAAAGCATAAAATCACAAAAGGCGAAATTGCTGCCAAAAATAGCAAAAACGAAAAGTTCAAATTCGCTCGCTTTGTGCCTCTGCGCTGTACTCTTCTTCTTTACACTACACACACAATATTGACGGCAGTTGCGAACGGTGGCTCATGCGCTTCTATGTCATATACATACATACATACACAAAAGCATGGTTGTACACCAGCGCGTATAACGGCAGTGAGTGCACGAAACTTTGTCAGGTTTATGCTAATTCGACTGAAGGTTTTACTATATATTTTTATTTTTATTATTTAGTTGTGGAGTAATTGCATTTCCGGGCATTCGCTGCTGCCGCTCGGCGATTTCGCTTGCCGTGTTGACATGTCGCGTGTCACGCGCACGTGTGAGTGTGTGTGTTGTCGCTCGACAACTTTTATGCAAATGTGTGCAAACAATTTTGTTTTATTGTTGATATCATTTGTTGTTGTTGTTAGTGTTCTACTGTACGCAGGAAAAAGGCAATCTCATCACTCAACTCTAAAACAACAGCTTTCGACACTCACGCATAAATTAAGCGACACAACACGCAATTACAGTTGTTTACAAACATGCACACACATGTGCATACCAAAAGAGTTAATGCGACCCAGTGGGTAAATCCTTGGAGTCATCATGCGGTACGAAATTATTTAATTTTCCCAACTAAACAAATAGCGCAAACTATGTGTATTGTCCCTGGCAAGTAATCAATGTCGTGTAAGCTATGTAATTTGCTCAATATATGAAAGCAGGGATGAAAAAGGAAAGGAAAAAGAGAACATGAAAAACCGCCAACTTCGGTGGCTAGAATATTCTTCAGAAATACATTAGATTCCTTGGATGAACATGATTTTGATCGTGTCATGATATATGCTATATTATTGTATAGCGGTTCCGAGAAATAAGCAACTTCATCGGAAGAAAAGAATCTTTACAAAATTTCAGCACAATATCTCAAACACTGAGGGTCTAGTTAGCATATATCGTTCTTAAGTCGTCAGTAAGGCTTTGAATGTTGCTTTCCAACTTCTTCAGCCTCAGTTCATTTTACCTTAATAGAGTAGAGAAATCCAATAAGATGTCAAAGCTGATAGCCACATTTCTTGATATGATACAGTCACTAATAGCTTGTTTAATTAAAATGAAACTTTCATTCGCTATATGGAATTTGGCATCAGCCCAATGAGACTAGTTAGCTCTCAAACTTGAATATAAAAAACCATTCCTTTTTATCGTCACTCTGTCCTTAGAAAGTCGTTGAATGTACAACTCACCCTACGACGTATTTGAATTCTCGGCAATATATTTCATCTACAGAGCCTTGAAATAAATAAAAATATTTCTTAGTGTTTATAACCGTTATTTCTATTTACAAGATGACAAGTGCACATTTGATTACGTGTTTTCAAAACAAAAAATTGGACCAAAAAAAAAGAACAAAAAAAAAAAACAAGTAAGGAAGGGCTAAGTTCGGGTGAAACCGAACATTTTATACTCATGCAACTTGCAAGTATCAAAACCAGGGAAATACTTTAAGGTACAGTAGAGTAAAGTCAACCGGATGTTCGAAAAAACTGATATTAGTTATATAGGGGTTAATATGTTTTAGGCACAAAGATACGCTGTTATGAATAAAACACACTCTCTTATTTTCACTGGGATAACTCACATATTGGCCGATATATGCGGTACAAAGTCACGCAAAATTTCGAAAATCTTTATATTAAGTATATCGGGGCTAAAGGAAATATTAGTCCGATTCAACACATTTTTGACGTACATACAAGAGACGGATTATCCCTTAATTTCAGTTATATACTATATATCACACATGTATCGACATTTTCGATCAAAGGTCTACTATGGGGTCGAAATATTCGGTACCTAGAGGATTGTACAGTTTTTATTGGATTTAAGCAATTTTTTGGTAATAAGGTGGCACATACTAAAGACATTATATGTGCACAGTTTTATTCCGTTATATTTTTTGATTCTTGAAGTGGAACAAGTGGAAATTAAAATTGTGCTATATGGGAAGTAGGCGTGGCTGTTATCCGACTTCGTCCATTTTCACACTGTGATATAAGAATATATGGAATTTCACCAAAAAGTGGGCGATGCCAAGCCTATCGTCAAATTTTCACACCAGCTCCCATAAAACTCTCTCATACAATTTATTGTGTCTTGCGTTTATACCATAGTTACTGGTTTAAGGGGGAGGTAAGGTTTGTTTCGTCGAAAAAAGACCTTTTTTCATGAATTTTTTTTTAGAAAAAATTATTGCTGTAGGTTTATTTTACTTATTATTATATCAGAGGATACTTAAAAAAAGTTTTATCGAAAAATAGCGAGGAATAACGGATTTATCGTCGATCTCTGCAGGCACCTCGAAAAGAAGTTTTTGTGTGTTGACCAGCCTACAGCATCACTGGGTCATCTGAAACCAAAAAATCAAAATGATTTCTTCAGTTTATTAGTTTATCTTTCAATTGACGTCGAGTACGCCCATCTTCGTCGAAATTTTTTTGTACTGAGAAACCCACATACCAAGTTTCATTGAGATTTCTCAATTTTTACTCAAGTTACGGCTCTGTAGCATCTAATTGCAAGAGTATAAACGTTTAGAAAGGGTTGTTTTCGACTTCGCATATATTCTAGAGTTTGGCAAAAACATGACACATATCGTTTTTCCATTATATAATAAACAAATAATTTAAAAGACAAAGAAGTGTCCCTAATTATGGGACCGCCAGTGTATGTAAATGCATATGAATCAAATGTACACTTATTTGGGAATATTTTCCGAAATTTTGGTACAACAAATAGTCTTTGCTTTACAACTTCTTTTAAGTTGCCTCCGTACTGTCAAAAGCCAAAACTTTTTTTAATGCTTCCTTCATTTCCAATATTCATCTGTAGAAATGGTAAACATAACCTGATTAGGGTATATCAAGTTTGAAACGTTAGACACATACTTTTACAAGTGATCATCGTAACGAGCTGAGTCGAGTCTGTATTCGTCTCTCTGTATATACGCGGACTAAACACTTAGTTTTTGAAATATCTTACTCATCGCCAGACACGAGGTCTTATTGGAGATTGGCTATGCAATCAATGAAGCTTGAAAATTTCCAAATTAAATCACCTAGTATTAAAGTACAATAAATTTAGTTTTTAATTTACTAAATTCAATTATTTGGCACTTTTGTACATTTTAACGCATTCTAATTTATTTATAACTTGTCAGGGAGTGGCCTGTCTGCCCTTCTTCACTTCTTAACTATGCTCTACTGTTCGAATATTGTTCGAATTAGATATATTTATTTATCTATTTTTTTGAAAGTTTGAATAAAATATATAATTTTTGATTTGAAAAAGAAATGATTGAAAATAAGCAGACGAAACCCAAAAAAAAAAAAAAAAACAACCGATTACAAATAAGTAAAAGAAGACACTAAAGAAAGAGTGAATTTGGCCAAAATTTTATTTTTTTAAATATTCCCAGATGGGATCTCAAATAGTATGTCATTATCTTTTTGCTGTTTACCTAGGCCAAAGCGCACTTGCAATTAAATGGATGTTTATTTTGTGATGTACACACACTTTGATGCACATATCTATTTATACTATGTATGTTGTTATGTCATTTTACTTCAAACCTCATGTCATACTCATATTCATTTTAATTTAATATATTTATTTTCTCATTTGTGTGTTTACAGTTTAATTCAGCGTGACACCCGACCATCTCCGCTTATAAACTGTCGAATGGTTAGCGGGAAACACACACGCGAATCATCACGAGCGCCTGATCATCGTTCCGAGGCGCGGCTGCGCATCGATCCGAAGGTGTTGGTGTTCGTGGAGACGACCTACTCAGGACTCGGGCGAGATATTGCCGAACTATTGGTCTATAATAGAATTAAGTGAGTACTGGTTCATTATGAAATTATAGTGCAAGTAAGATTATTGAAGCTATCTTTTGGTTAAGTTCTGTTTAACTTAGCCAATACTCTTTCTGGCCGTAAGAACCTTTTCTTAACCATAAATTAATTGAAAGATGACTGCTACTCAGACATTGAGAAAACGGCTCTTAATGAAGGAAGAGGAGGTAAAAGGTTTATAATTTACCAAATGGAAACACGTTTTTTTAAATACTCTGAGCACCGCTCTCTTATATAACTTAATATTTAAAAGAGAGGCGATAATGACCTCAAGACGAGCAACAATATTGTGTTTTTTTAGAGATAAATTCACTATCATTTCTCACTTACACTATTCCCAACATCAACTAGAGAACCGGAAATCAGCATATTAAGGATTTAAAATTTAGACCAAGGTCTAGACCAGTTTCATTTGTATTTGGCGCTAAGAGCGTTTATTTCGAAGGAAATTTGTTCACTTAAATATATTAAAACTCTCTCTATCTCTTTCTCTGCAATTTTTGGACGTTAATTCACACATTGGGCCAAAAAGTCTGCTGAAATAACGAAATAGGTAGTATAAGGGGGCTGGGTAATTTGTGAACTGATTTCACGTATTTTCTGCATTAAACTAAGGCGTATTTTCTCCCGACTTTATCTGTTTTAGATACAAAGGCTCACCATTACTGGAAATTTTCTCTCCGTAGTTCATGGAGATACCTCGCAGATTTACCTATATATGGGAAACCTATTATCAGGAAAATAATCTTTCCGAGCTTCAAAAATATATTTCAGATATTAGTTGATATTTTCTGTTAAAAGTTAGCCAAACTCATCGAGGTTCACATATACGGTATCTGGGGGCTGGCAAAGTTATACTTCGAATTTGAAGATTTTGAGTCATTACAAATATATACAAATCGTATTCCGTTCTGTTGCTTTTTTTTTTTTTTTTGGCTAAATTTGTGTACTGGAAGGTGAAGGAATCAGCTGGAATTTATACTCATGCTATATAGGAAATAGGTGTGGATTTTGTCCGATTTCTCTAATTTTCACATCGTAGTATAGAGATATCAGGAGAATGCTATGATGCGAATTTTGTTGAGATTGGTCGAGTAGGACCTAAGATATGGAATTTCATTTAAAGGTGGGCCACGACTGCTGTCCAATTTTGTCACGTACTCCCATGAAGCCCTTACGGGCCATATAGCCCCTGTTGTTGTGGCAGAAAACATTCCTGAAGTAAATTCGAAGTATGGTGCCGAGTTGAAACCAGAAACCATTCCGGTTACTTATACCTGCCAGTGGTGTACAATTTAATGCTTTCGTATATACTTAATAAGTTATATCGCATAGTAAGTTCCAATATAACCGTTATATTGGGTTATTATCTGGTACTTAAAGGCAAATTTGATTTGTGATAAAAAATTTCCCGGAAATTATTCATAAAACGCAAAATATTTAATAAATTATTAATACTTATTTGTTCGCCCTCAAAGTAATGCCCACCAGATGGTTAATGAACTTATGCCAACGACTTTTCCAGTAGCCTTGAACTCCTTCAGAGAATTTTTTTTTACCCCTTCGATCCAATCCCCCAATCCCAGCCGTTTTCGACGGATTTCCTCACGCAAACGACCCAATGCAGCCACATTGAACTCCTCATGGATCGCCCGTCCCTCCGGAACAAATTCTTGATGCACCAAGCCATGAGTATCGAAAAACAAACAGTGAGCCGTACCTTGATTTGTGAGCGGCTTTGACGTATTTTTTTTTATATTTTTTTTTTTATTTTTATTTTTTATTTTTGTGTTTCAGCTGGTTATTTTCTCTCCATTCCGATAATTGTTGACTTGACCCATGTCTCATCGGCAGTTATAAGGTTCTTCATGAATGTAGGATTGCAATTCGCACGATCAAGCATGTCCAAAGAGACCTATTTACGATGCCTTTTTGGAAAAAAATAAAGCTTTAGCGGAACGAGTCGAGCAAAAACGCACCCAAAACCCAAAATATCCATAAAAATCATACGAACTGACTCGGAAGAGATGTCGAGCTCTCCAAACATCTCTTTAATACTTGCCAGACGATTTTCAAGCACCATAACCTTCACTTGTTTAATATTTTCATCAGTTGAAGATGTCGAAGATCATTAACCTGAACGAAGCGTCTAGAGATTGTCTATCATTCTGATCATTTATATTTACATAACTCCATATGTATGTAGCTCGATTAGTTTCAGGTGATATAAACAGAGGTTAGTTAGGTGACATGATGATCTACTTCAATCATATCTTTTTTTTCTTCTTCCAAAATGCCGACAAATAAGACAGTTATATTCGGATGTAAGTATTGGGTCTATATTTCCCCCTGTATATGATATTCGCTTTTAAAGCTTTGCAATCATATCAAGAAACTACCGCCAATAGATTGTTGAATTCCAACTACATTTACGACTGTCAGCAATCTCCCTACACCCACCAATTCTCTTTGCTTCATACAAAGATCGCCATAAGTCACGTTCCACAACTTAATATTCCATCAATATGATACTGCCGCAAATTTGTCACAATTTAGTTGAACTGTGGCAAGTTGCATGTGCTCCTTATTAGAAGCGAAATCAATTGAAGCGGAATGCTAATGTGGTGCTGCTCCGCAGAGTATGCTACCAATTACCGCCGTGCATGCCAGCGCCTCCCCACCACCCCCATCCCGATGTAATGCATATGAGAGTAATCTGAGCTTGATCCTTCTGACATAAATTATGGCGAGGAAAAACGAACGAAATAACAATTTCAAAATCATTGACCCACATTTGCATAGCCAAGCAGTCAGCACAGTTACGATGCAGCGCTATGCATTGTTACCGCTCCCACACGAGCCAGCCGTCCACACAAACATCTATGCATGTGCATGTGTATGTATGTGTGTGTATGAGATAATTTTTGCTTGTGTGGGTATTGATTGATCCACAAGTGCAGACTCGCTGCGCAATGTGCATATAACTTGCTATTGTTGTTGTTGCCCACAGTCAGTCAGTCAGTCAGTTATTTAGAGCAAACGCCTGATGTTTGTTGTTATTATTGCAATCATTATTGTTGTGTGTCGAATATTATTGCTGCCGCAACAGTCAGCGAATTAATTTCGCAACCAGAAATGGGCTGCCACTGAAACAACCGCAACAAATACCAACAAATGTGCACAACAACAACAACAGCAATAACGTCAACGCAGTGGCAACTTTATTGCATACACAAGGCACACACAGCCACTGGGAATTGATAGAAATACAAATGACTGTACATGCGGCTTTACAACGCCTTAACATATGCAATGGCATTTGTAAACATGCGATCGTACAACTTGACTTGGCGCTGCGAACATGCGAACGCACGGAGATGGCAACACTTGCAAATGTTATTTGATATGCTTGCAATTATACATTCACGCACACACACACACGCATATATGCGTTATATAATATCGCAGTTATATTTGCAAATGTATGCAGCAGTGTGTGTATGTGTGGTTTCGGTTGCGATTGCGCCGTTGACCTCGGAGACATTGTTAGATTCTATGTATTCCATTGTACCCAGAGGCGTTTGACGAAACTCACTTGAGGTTGCCAATTCCAATGTTGTTTTTGTTGCAACATTTTAGATCGTCTTAAATGCTTATAACACACAATTACTGTGTGACACACACATTCGCAAGCTATAATAATTAATTAGTGATAAGTACAAAATATTTCACCGATAAAAGGCACAAAGTAGACGCACGGCTGTGACCCGAGTATCTTTATATTGAAACTCAAGAGAGATTATGTGAGTTCAAATATTGACTTCTTAGGTCTAAGTTAACCATAGTAAATATATGGCTTTGTGACATGTAGTTGAAGTAGTAAAGGGTGGTGTAATTCGAAGTTCCCTACTTTTTTTATACTCTCGCAACAAAGTTG